AGGGGCGGGGCCGGGGGCCTTCCTTCTGCCCTGCTCACCTTCCTGAGCTAGCACCTGGGACTCCAAGGAGATGGCGCCTCCACCATGGCTGTCCTGCAGCCTCAGCCCCAGCCCAAGCCTCACCCTTTTATTTTTTTTGAGGCAGGGTCTTGCCATGTTGCCCAGGCTGGCCTCCAACTCCTGAGCTCCATCCTCCTGCCTATGCCTCCTGAGTAGTTTGAGATAGGCACCCTGCCCAGCCTCGGGCCTCGCCCCCTTTTATTTGGGCGCTTGTCACGGCCTTCCAGTTCCTCCTACACGCAGCCCCAGAGCTGAGCCCACCCTCCCTTGCTCATAGCCTTCCTGGCTCCCCAGCGCCGCTGGGGGAGTCCTCCCTCTCTGCCTGACAGCCGAGGCCCCACTGGCTCTGGCCCCACCATCCTCTGCAGCTTCATGTCTCACTGTGCCCTCAAACCAGACTTCTCTCCAGGCCCTGGACCTGGCCCACTGTGCGGCCTCTGGGCCTTTGCATGGCCGCTTCTTTCCTCCCAGCCCGGCTTCCTCCTCTTGGCAGCCTGGAATGTTCCTCCTCACTAGTCACGATGTCAGACATCCCTTCCTCTCTGTCCCCACAGCCCTAGCCCCAGCTCAGGTCCTGCCTTCTTCTGCCTGGGCCTCTAGCCCGGCCTCCTGGCCTCCGTCTCTCCCCTCTGAGTATGATCCTGGAGGGATCTGTGTCTAGAGATGCCTCCCTCCCTTTCCCTCACAGCCTTCAGTGGCTCCCAGGCCCCAGGCTGGTCATCACGGGGTTCACGCATCTCTCATTCAGAACAAAGGCCCATGGACCCTCTCAGCCAAGGCAGCGGGGAGACACCACAGGGAAACCACACACAAGCCTCCCCACCTCCCACTCCCTGCAGGGCCCAGAGAGCAGAGTGGCGACTGTCCAGAGGAGGTGGCTGGGGAGAGGGGGTGGGTGGAGCTTCAGGGCTGGGGACAAGTGGCCAAAAGGCGGGGGCGAGGCTCAGGGGCCACAGGCCCAACCCCTAACACGCAGGGTCTCTCCTGGGGGGTCAGGACAGGAGGGCTGTGAGCGAGGCAGGGGCAGGGCTGCATCAGGGTGGCATCACAGTCGTCATCATCGAGGGGACTCATGGGGGGAGCCCAAGGGGCCCTGAGGCTCCTCTCAGGCGGCGCCATCTGGGTGGGTCTTGAAGGACAGAGGAGGGGACTGGGCACAAAGAAGGACGGAGGGCTGGCACCACGTCTGGGGGCCCTGGGGCGTTAAGGGAGGGCTGTGTGCAGGGCGGGGCCGCGTGGGGAGGGACTGGGGGGCTCGAAGGCTGGTGGGTCCGGATGGGCGAGGCAAAACCTGAACGGGGCTCTGGGGACAGGCAGTTGGGGCTGGAGGGACAGGGCTGGGGCTGGGGAGCTGCAGCTGAAGGGGGAGCCAAAGGCTGGGGTCGGCCGGGCGGGGCGGCTTCTGCCTATAATCCCAGCACTTTGGGAGGCTGAGCTGAGAGGTGTCCTGAGCCCAGGGTTCGAGACCTGCCTGGGCAACATGGTGAGACCTTATGTCTATCATAAGTCAAGAAAAATTCACCAGGCACGGTGGCACGTGCCTGTAGTTCGAGCTACTTGGAAGGCTGAGGCGGAAGGATCACCAGAGCCCAGCAGGTTGAGGCTGCGG